GGAACCCCAAAAGCCTGAACCCCTAAACGCTGGAACGACTCAAGACTTGGCTTAGGGTTTAGGGTTTAGGGTTTAGGAAGTTTAGGGTTTAGGGTTTAGGGCCTAAGGGTTTAGGGTTTAGGGCCAAGGATTTACCTATAGTCTCCATTGTAGTTCCTTTTGTTGGTTTAACCAATTCTATATAAAGGATCCTAAAAGGTAGCCCCAAAAAGGAATTACAATGGAGACTATAGGTAGGGCGGGTAGGGTGGGGTTTGGCAGCAAAATAACAGCAATAATTAGGTTCCGCAGTAGTACCCTTTTGCCCTTTTTATTTGGGGTCTCCGTATTAGAGCCGAATATCAGGAAAAAAGGGTACCCTTATTGTTAAGTGGTTACTGGGGAACCTAGATAATTTAATAATGACAAAGGAGTTTTGGGATTGTAAAAACAAAAAGAGCCCTAAGGAATTGTCTTGCTCATTGTTCAGGTCTCTTTGTTACCTAAAAGCCCGGTAATCTGCATGGTCTTTGGACCTTGTGTCTACACTCCTGCAGCCTTAGCTTGTTAGATCAGCAGCCCGGCTTGTAGGGGTAGAAGGGCTTTGGGTTTCAGGGAGCGGTTAGGGTTTAGGCTTTTAGGCTTAAGGTTTCTGGGTAGGAGCTGTTTCGTAAGCTGGGATGCAGGCCGTATGATTGCTGCATCGTTCGGCAGTTTGGCAGGCTTAGTATCAACAGAACCTTTCTTGTCGATTGATGACAAACAGATGCAAAGGAAAGCACCAGACCTCTGAAATCATGAGCTTCCCAGCTGGTCTCACTGCAGTATTAAGGGTATTTGGGCGTGTCTGATAAAGTGTCCTACTATTCAGTGAGAGCATGTAAGAGCCCAGTTGTCCTCTCTAGTTGCCGTAGAGCCCCCAGTCAAGTTCAACTAGCCCAACAAGTGGCAAGGCGTGGCTTTGAGCCCTAAACTTAAACCCTAAACCATAAACCCTAAAACCCTAAATCGATTTTCTAAGCCCAAAGCCTCGGCAGGGCGACCACTCCCTCTCGGATGCCGTGCCAAAGCCTCGGCATTCTTCTGGAGTCACAATACCGATATACCCTATATAAAGCCTTTAGCCCCCAAATTCGTTGCCTCAGGGTTTTCGTGGCTTTAGGGTTTGGGTTAAGCTTAAGCGGCTTTGTACTGCGAGGCTTGCAGTGTAAGGGTGAGTGGCTTCAGAGTTGGCGGTAGAGAAAATTAGAATTGCTAGCTTAGGCTTTAGGTTTATCAGGCTTTCGGTTTTGGGAACGGAACTGTGGGCTCGTTAAGGGCCTTGGGGGTTTGCTTTTCACGGTTCCTATTTGAACCTGAATTTGGGAAAAGGAAAAAGGGTTCCCTTATCATTGAGAGGACACTGGTGAACCTGGGTAGTACTCTTGGATCCTTGTTCTGTTTTGTTTACTAGCTTCTTGGGTACTTCTCAAAATTAGGTTGCCTTTTTAGGTCCCCAATATAGTACGGCACGCTTTTGGTCAGTACCCAAACGGGACCGTAATTTAGAAAACTACCCACATGGTGGCACCAGAACCTTCGCCAGTCCGTCCGCGAGGGGGACATAAGCACCCAATGTAGGGACCTGAATAATGTTAACTACTGTTCCCTATGGGGCATTTCAAGATAATAATATTCTGACATGTATATACTCCATATACATATATGTATATACCACATATATATATATGTATGTATGTATGTATGTATGTATGTATGTATGTATGTATGTATACACACCACAAGACCCTGTATTATCAAAAGTAAGTTTCATTTCTGCAGCGGCACAAAGAATGTTGCACTTTGCCTTGACACCCCACCTAAATGGAAGTTTCAGCAACCAGGGGACTGAAATAGAATAACCTAAGCCTGGGTTTTCGTTTTGGAATTTGATCTCAGTTACCATCGTAAGTAAGGAAACCACGCTGTTTCCTACAGATCCTTATTGTAGTAACTTACCTATAGTCTCCATTGTAGTTCCTTTTTGGGGTTACCTTTTAGGATCCTTAATCGAAAACTGGTTAAACCAAGAAAAGGAACTACAATGGAGACTACAGGTAAATTGCGTTCCACCAAAACCCCAGACTCCCAAGACAGCAAGATGTTCATTCCAAGGCTTTAAGATCAGAAGTGCCTGCATAACGCTGGCTACACGTCACAAAAACCGCAGCATGCTACGATGTCCGCAAGAAACGATAAGAAACGCAAAGGAGCCTATAAAGCCCTGTAAGACACTTCACAGAAACAGCAGCCCCGCCTTAAATCCCAATACAGGACTCCGACGCCCTAGCCTAAACCCTAAACCCGATAGCCTAAACCCTAAACCCTTAAACCCTAAACTCTCCAATACAGGACTCCGACGCAACTGGATCACAGCAGCAGCGCTGACACCATCCTCCATCAGTGCTGGGACTTCAACCCGGAGCTGGCCCGCAGAGGGCTTTCTTTGGGGGGTTTATTTTTGTGGGGTTTAGGGTTTTGGGTTATTTTTAGGGTTTGTTTTTGTTTTGTTTTAAGTTTTTTTTTTTTGTGTGTGTGTTTTGGGTTCATGGTCTAGAGTTCTTTGGGTTTAGGCTTCATAGGTTCAAGAAGTTCTACAAGCCCTAGGTAGACCTTACCTTAAGGACGGCGTAGGGACCCTGTCTCCGGTGCTCCTTTACTCTCCAATTACAGGGGATCAACCTCAAACCTTTTCAGGGTTCGTTGGGTCCATAGGTTTGCAGAGAACGTCAGGGCCTATAATGATTACCCATGCTGCTTTCTGGTGTGTACACTTAACTTTCACTACGAGACCCTCTACCCCTTAAGGCCGCCCGAATTCCCCTAAACCTTAAACCCTAAAACCCTAAACCCTGAAACCCTGAAACCTAAAACAGTAAACCCTAAACCCTAAACCCTGAAACCCTGAAGCCCTAAACCCTTAAACCCGCAAACCTAAATCCCTGAAGCCCTGACCCCTAAAACCCTGAAACCCAAAATTCCCCTAAAACCTTAAACCCTAAAGCAGGTCCGGATCCTGAAGCAGGCAGCGCTGAGACTGGCAGTGCCCGACGAAATCTTGCTGCTTCTGGGTCTTCCGTAGGAGTTACATTTTCATTTTTTGGTACAGTATACGTTCGGGTTTAGGGCTTAGGGTTTAGGGTTTAGGGCTTTTAGGGTTTAGGGTTTAGGGTTAGGCCAAGAGGTTACTACTAAATAATATGTTTTCTTGGCGGGGGTCAAAGGATCTTGTAGGCTTTTCGACCGGAGCCAGAAGATAGCCCGCACGGGGTACATGGATGGCTGTTGCAGAATATGCAATCTAAACATAAACGGAAAATGCGGTGCAGCTACCGGATGTCAAGGAGTGTTGAGGGTTCGTCAGCACATAAATAGCCTGTGACGGTGTTTTGTCCAGGAGAGACGAATTGTTGTTTTGCATACTCTAGGGGCTGCAAGTAACCCCAGGTAGATGGTGTTTGCATACCTGGATCCTAATTTTCCCTAAACTCTAAACCCTAAACTTAAACTACTAAGGCTTGTGCTAGGTGATGGTTCAGGATTTCTAGGAGCGTCGGCTGCACCGGTTTGGGCGGGCTGCGTATAGCGTTGTTTATTGCAGGAAGGGCTTAGGGCTTACGGGCAGAAACCATCAAAGGACGATTAGTATTCGCCGCCGCTTTTGCCCCTGCACGCCGAAACAAAGGCTTGTATGCGGATCCTTGTGTAGGTACTGTAGGGTCAAAGCACGTACTATGCTGGTACATGAAACCTTAGGGTATTGCATCCTAACCAAAAGACGGTTATCCTGCAATCCAGGGTGTATGTATATTGCATATTCTTATTACTTCAGTATCTTGCCCATCAAACAGGTCATACCTGAAACGCAAAACCTTTAACAAGGTTACTACAATGCTGGTCGATCCGCAAAACCAAGGCTTACGGCGATAGGTGTGTCCATCGCCAAGCTGCACGACAAGGAGCCAGCTGGGATGGATGGCAGGATCAATCGCTTATTTTTAAAACAAAAAATACTACGCATACATATATATGTTTATATTTGTATTTGTATCATATGGCATATGTAAAGTCTTTATGTATGTAAGTATGTGTGTGTATGGTATTGTATTGTATTGTATTGTATTGTACTGCACTGCACTGCACTGCGCTGCACTGTACTGTACTGTACTGTACTGTATTGTATTGTTTGTATTGTATTGTATTGTATTGTCTTGTCTTGAATTGAATTGTATTGTATTGTATGCATGTATGTATGTATGCATGCATGTATGTATACTACGACTACTGCTACTACTACTACTCCTACTACTACTACTACTACTACTACTAGTGCTAGTGCTGCTAGTGCTAGTGCTGCTAGTGCTAGTGCTAGTGCTAGGTACTAGTACTAGTACCAGTACCAGTACTAGTACTAGTACTAGTACTAGTACTAGTACTAGTACTAGTACTAGTACTAGTACTACTACTACTACTACTACTACTACTGCTACTCCGACTGCTACTGCTACTGCTACTGCTACTACAACTGCTGCTGCTGCTGCTGCTGCTACTAAGACGACGACGACGACTACTACTGTACGCCCGCGGACACAAGCCCGCTGACCTGCCGGGCCGACATCCATCGGAGAGAAAAACCGCCAAGCTTTCGTTCTCCATGCCTCCGGGCCCTCAAGTGTGTGCTTGCGGCTTGCCTGGGAGATTCGTCTGTTCGCGTACAGCCATGGGTTTGGTTGTGTGCTGCCAGGTACTTGCAAAGTGGCGATTGCCGGAAGATGTTGGTCGCGCGACGAGGAGGGCAGGCACGCGGAAGCACAGCTCAGGGCTTGGTCGCAGCCAGCTCTGGCCTTGTGGAGGTCCAGTCCGCGACATTTTCACACGACGGTTTGATACTGCTCACTGTGTCGCTGGATGGCGAAGGGAAGCTGTGGTAGGGAGCTCAGCCATACAATCTGACGTAGGTCGACAGCAATGGCCTGGGTGCTTCTTTGTGCTTGCAACAAAGGTGCCCAGAGAGTGGCCGGCTTCTTTGTGAGCTCAGCGGGCAAGCAGGAGGTGTTTTGCAGCTTGGCTTTTCAAGATGGGCAATGCCTGGACTGCTTATAGCTGCAGGCTTACTGCATCGGGGATCTCAGGTCGGGCGAATTCTCAGCCGATAGCAAATGGATTACGGGTGCATCAGATGATTGCACCGCCATAGCTGCTCGGCATGCGATTGGGACCAGCAGCTTGGTTCCCGAAGACCTGTATGCTGTGATGGAAGGCAATCTTGACCAGGGTGGTGTTCTTTCGTGAGCCCAAAGGCTTTTTTCTCGACAGCCAGCCCGAAGTTTTGCAAGAATTGTATGACCGTCTGAAGCAGTCAGTTCTGGTTGCAAAAGCCAGGCAAAAAACCTGTCCATAATCAAGGCTCCAATGCTTTGCAAGGTCTGGAATGCCGAGACGGGCAAATGCTCGCAAGTCCTCTCTGGACATGATGACGATGCCCGACTTGCCTGTTTAAGGGCGACCTATGCAGATGCACATGCATTGATGTTGCAGTGAGCCTGCTCTCGTGCAGGTTAAGTCAGCTGCCTTCTCTCCGGATGCCTCACTGGTCGTCACTGCATCCTGTGACGGTGCGACTGCCACAGGGGTATTTGAACATGATTGTCAAACCATGGAGGATCGTGACTAGCTGATTAGCTGGCGCGTCATTTGCACATCCTCATGCCCATGAGCTCTTCGAGCTGTCTTGTCTGGCCTCTGGTGGTGAGCCGCTGGTCTTGCAGCTCTGTTTCATTTCGAGGAACCGCTGGCCTCTGGATGGCGGCAGATGGCAGTAGACTCCGATCTTTTGCCAGTGACCAAGACATCCAGTGTGTTTTGCATGTTGGGAAAGGGCTAGCAGCAAGGTCAAGAGGGACAGGTAGATTCCGAAGAGTGAGGCTGAGACTAGCTTGACCCAGCAGTGTGCGACGAGACATCCTTGATGAAACCATCATGCAAAGCTCTTGCTCAGGTTGGACATGACGATGTGGTAGAGGACTTATCTCTTGCACTGCACATGGCGCGAAAGCAAATTACTTGCTGCATCAACCATTCTGGTGTGCTCTATCGGGGTTGGTTAGTCCTAGTGGGAGAGAACTACAAGCTGGTGAAAGTGTCTTCAGCCTCTCAGGTGAAGTCTGCAATGTTTTCCTATGATGGAATGCGCATCATCACGGCGTCAATGGACGGAACCGCGCGGGTTGAGTACTCAGCTGTTCTACTGCTGATGCGTCGGGCGCATCGGCCTTCAGCATTGATGCTACATCCTTTGTGCAAGCTGTGTGTTTTGCAAGTAAGAGCTCTGCTCTACATGGGTTGTCGATTCATCACGCGTCACTGAAACTGAGGTTTGGAACGTCGAGACTGGTGAGTGCTTGCAGGTTCTGCAGGGCCATGCCAAGGACCGGCCAGCTTTGTTGAGGGACTGTGAGCAGGGGTTTTGAGGTCAGTCATTCATAGCTCATAACCTTTTCAAATTTCATGAGTGCTGGACGTCCATATTACATCGGCCGTGCCAGGCTGTCAATAGTGCAGCTTTCTCACCTGACGACACTTTGCAACTGGGCAGCTCAATGCTTTGATGGGGCAGCGCCAATTTTGAAACAGTCGTGTTGCATGAGCCATACCACGGCCAAGTGGGGAGTGGGATTCAAGAGCCTGCACATGTACTTGAGGTACCTCACTACGTCCTTTGATGGGACGGTCCGAGTTTGGGAAGCCGGCTCAGGCAAGGCCAAGAGTAAAGGCTGCGGGACGGTGTTGAATTTTGTCGATTCCATGAAGCTGTGCCTAGCAGAAGCTGCGTGGTAGCATTCGCTCGCCAGGTAAAGACTTGGATTTTATTGAGGCTTCTGTGATAAGTTTGTGTCATCAAAACATATCAAAACCGACACCCAGCATTTAAAGTCGAAGCAAATCCTTGATTCTTGATGCCGCGCTGGGCGAGTCGGCAGGACCGACCCCCATCATGCCTGCAGGCGATTGCAATCTGGTTCTTCATGCCGATAACAAAGCTGGACACTTAGAGCATCTTAGAGCTCTCCCCGCTTTCATGCTGGCAGCTCGATTTCAGAGCCTTGCTGTCGGGAGTGTGTGGACAGTGCAGGGCTCTTTAGGTGCATGTTGAGTCGCCCGAAGTGTATTTTATTTTGATCCCCTATTTATCACCAGCGACACTGTCGAGTGAGAGGTCGTGAACATGGCTCAGTTCTCGCCTGACGGCGCGGGTCTCCAGAGTATCGCAGTGGAAGTGGTGCTTTTGCAGACCCGCTGATGGGCCCCAAGCTTGCTACGCCACAGCCTTCAAGGGAGAGCTGCTCCACGTTAAATTAGGGCTCTTTGTGGCAGCTGTCAAGAGTTCAGCAGCGCATGCCATGTTGTTGCAGGAAGCTTCTGCCGAAATATAGTCGTAATTGTGTGGGTGTGGCATATATGTCGGAGCTTGCTCTGGCCCGTTTGTCTGGGGGCCACCTGTACAGCGCAGTCTGCAGTCCAGTGACTTGGCTACATGTGTCGGACCCAAAGCTGCAAGCTTCGACAGGTGCCATGATTCTGGTTGCTTCGGGCACTGAATGTGTCCGCTTGCTGAGTGCGACTACAGGCCTTGGGAATCCACGAAAAAACGGGAGTGATGGTGACACAAACAGGGCTTTGCGAGTGATTCAGGAACATCATGTCGGCTGCACCTCTGCACGTCGAGCACTCCGGATTTGTGAACTCTGTTGGGATCTGTTGGGCATTCCACACTAGCCCGCGCAGTAGTTTTCTCTTGGGTTCTGTCCGTTTGCCAGGCGAATGCATCATGACCTTAGACGGTCACGAGGATTGGGTGAGGACAGCTAATTTCTCGCCCGACGGTATCACACTCAGACCGAATGCAGAGAAGCCGATGCTGCACAGTTACTCAGGAACTGGCCTGTTGCACACTTCGACAACATGCATTTGTTATGTCGAGTGCCAACACGAATGCTCCTGCATGAAAGGGGAAGCCGTGATCTTTGTGAGGCATGCTCATCGCCTCTGCCTCCTACGATGGGACAGCCAGGCTTCAGAATCTGACAAAATCCCCGTGCGGTGCTGCGTTGTGAAGCAAATCTGTTTGCCCACAGCTGCAACAGATGATGTGGCTTTCGTGTGATCCCATCGGCTTCAGCGAAGTGCCGTCCATTGGCAACCGCCACAGAAATCGGATGATGGATTGAACGGGTTGTAAGTAGCTTTGGCGCCGTACGGCTGGAGCCGGGGCAGGGAAAGGCAAAACGAAGCCACACCAAACACTGTCCCAACGTGGGTTTGGCTCGGGGAGGGAGGGTCGGGGACCGGGTCCAAGGCGAGAGAGGGCTGAAGCGGGTCAAGGCAGCAGAGGAATTTTGCAACCTGGGGCTGTGCCGACGCTCGCAAGGGTCGGCTGTTGCTCTGTAAAGAATTCTTGATCAGGGTCTGGAGTTCGAGAACCGGCGAATGCCTGCAGACCCTTGCTGGCCATTCGGCCGGCTTCCTACATACCAGTCCAGCAGCAGTTCGTGATCGCTTGCTTGCAGCTTTCATGTGGTTGCGTCACGCGTCACCTTGCCTGGCAGGAGACAGTCATATCCGCGGAAATCATTGCGGCCTGAGGAAGGCCCTGCTTGGGTCGAGCCTGTAGGCACAGATGAATCCGCTGCATCGTGCGCTCTGGAGGTGCGGCATCCTGTCTGATCCGGGGATGCTGTGCTTCAAATTCACTGCACCTTCTATCTCTTCCCATGAGACTCCTGTCAACTATGGCAATGAGGGCTCACCTGGTTTCGAAGTCAGACACATGTGATATGTACTGTCATCCCTTAAAGCAGATGATCCGAAGCAGAGCTCTTTGCTGCCAAGTTGCATGGACCTCAGCGTCTCCTAGGTCACCAGTCAATCTGCGCCCTGACACCACACCAACATTATCACGAACCTCTCTTGATCCTTGGTGCTCCTCATCCGAGAGCCGAACTCTCTTCTGCATCAAGAGCGCGTGTCATTCCACAGCTGTGCCTACATGTTCACCGTGCTCGCTGAAAGGGCCTGTGGGCATGGATACACTCGGGTAGATGCTCCTCTGCGGGTCACCGACGACCGGAGCCCCGGTGTCAGCTCTAAAGAGCTCGCAGGCTGCAGTGCGTTCCCTTCGCAAGATGGATAGCACCGAAGTAGAGCAAAGCAAAACGCGTGAGTTCCCCCAAAAGATAACCTTGCTTCTTCCCTCATATTTGCTAAGTCTCATGAGCCTTTTAAGAAGTATTTTAGCGGAGTGCCGCTGCTTTCCCACTGGCTTTTGTCTTAGCCCAGAATTTAAGTCCCGCAGCCTGGCATGCCGCTGCGTCTGGAAGAGTGGGGTGCTTGGTAGAGATTTCATTGCCACTACTGGTGGCAGTGTGCTGGAAACTGTGCGAGATGTTTGAACACCCAGCGTAATCGCCCTATTGCAGAGGATAAGGATGGCAGTGTGCAAGGATGTGTTTTCCGCCTTGGTTGGCATCGTCGCATTGGCATGCCAGGCTGCTATGGAGTGGTTTTTGTGTCACCCACCCTGCAAAGACTCGTCTGAGTGCCATCCACAAACGAAGCTTACGTTAGAACCAGAGGCATTTGTTGCCCTGACCCTGGGATTCAGAGATCATGACCGGACCGAAGCTCCAAGGTAGAGTGTAACCCGGTCATGGGCGAGATTGAGCTTAGCCAACTTCGCCCTAGATATTCCCCCATGGTCGCCTGAGCCTTCGCGGCTCGGCGCGCTATGCGCAGGAAGGATGCCCGAACCACCGTGCAGCGCTCGATTTCATTGAATTCGCCTGCCAGAAGAAGCACATATTTAGCTCCACAGGCAGCATATTTCAGCTTCCACTACAACTTGAGCTGCATCGTGCTTTGCTGCGGCTTCTTGCGATCAGACTTTTTGGATGCCAGCACGATCTAACGAGGATCCAACAGAGATACTGCGCAACTTCGAAATGCTCGTCGAGCACTGCTAAGGATCCTCCAAACCGTGGCTGTGCAATTCGGAGTCCTGCAACTTTTTGGCAGACGTCATTACCTACAAGGAATGGCTGCTTAACCGAGCAGAAACATGTTCTTGTATCAAACGTGCTTGCCCGCAGAGGTATGCGACAGAGGTCTCTAGAGACGTCAGGAGTCACACGACTGCTCTTCGAACGGAGTAGCAGGCTGCCAACAAGTTTGGGCTAGACCGGGACTTGCCACCCGTGCCTTGTCAGAAAAAGACTAAAGAAACGCCAGTGCATTCTGCAAGGATGAAGGAAGTAGTTAGTTTGCCGTCAGAGTAAGTGCATGTCTTGGTATAAGATCACACTACCATGTTTGCAAACTGGAGTCCTTACGAGCCGTTTGCGTCCTTCCTCCATCTGCTGCAGCGTGGCGTTGAGTATCCGCGGGCCTCTCAGTGCGCATCGTGGCAGAACGAGTTCTGTCAGGATATGTTTGGCAAAGTCTGCACGGCAAGCCGTTGCTGACACTTGCATTTGGGTGTTGGACAGGCAGCGATCATGATGAAGCAGGTGGCGGAACAGCTGGCTGAGATCCAGCAGCAGCAAAAGGCTTCTGCGCAGACTTTTGCTTTCCTCGCACATCAGCACGAAGGTGCGAGAGGGCCTTTTAGAGCGAGCTTCTACCTCAATATGTCCATCATTGCTGAGAGGCTGGCAGGCGGCTCTGGATTCCATCCTTGATCGCATTGACCGGCTTAACGAGACAGAGGATAGAAATACATGATTTTTGCGGTCTTCATTGTGTCGGGGGACTGTAACGTGGCCATTATACCGGCAGGAGCGCAAATTGGATTATCCTCAGATCACGCGGACGCCGCAGCTTCCCCCGTTATGTGGGGATCCAGATGGCGAGGCCGGCGAGGTATCTAACTTGGAGTACCGGGCGACATTGAATGGACACGGTTTTAGCCACAAGTTCACTGCACAAATCGTGGAGCCAGTCTTGCGGTAGTAAGGCATCTGTCAGCAATGCAGAAGCTGACTTCCCGCTTTGCTCTCGCCGCCCCAACATCAGTGTCCCACTCATCCGTTCTATCTCTCTCCCTCTCCCGCTCTCCCGCTCTCCCTCTCTCCCTCTCTCCCTCTCTCCCTCTCTCCCTCTCCTGCTCTCCCGCTCTCCCTCTCTCCCTCTCTCCCTCTCTCCCTCTCTCCCTCTCTCCTTCTCTACCGCTCTCCCGCTCTCCCTCTCTCCCTCTCTCCCTCTCTCCTTCTCTCCCGCTCTCCCTCTCTCCCTCTCTCCCTCTCTTTCTCTCTCCCTCTCTCTCTCCCTCTCTCCCGCTCTCCCGCTCTCCCGCTCTCCCGCTCCCTCTCCCGCTCCCGCTCGCCCTCTCCCGCTCTCTCTCTCCCTGTCCCTCTCCCTCTCCCTCCGCTCCCTCCTCTCCCTCCTCGCCCTCGCGCCCTCCTCGCCCTCCTCGCCCTCCTCGCCCTCCTCGCCCTCCTCACCCTCCTCGCCCTCCTCGCCCTCGTCGCCCTCTCCCTCTCCCTCCCCCTCTCTCCTTCTCTCCCTCTGTCGCTCTCTCGCTCTCTCACTCTCGCGCTCCCTCTCCCTCTCTCTCTCTCGCTTTCTCACTCTTTCGCTCTCTCGCTCTGTCTCTGTTAAACGTAATCAGCCCAATGCGCATACGAATGTTCAGGATGCTTTCGTGAATGTTATAATGCCGAATGGCATTTGGCTCAAGACCTCGGTTAGTGGTGACTTTTTGGACTGTGGCTATGAATTTTGCATGGTAGCGGAGCTTCGGCTCCAGAACCAGAGAGTGAGAGAATGGACCTTGAGGGCATCGGAGAGCTAAAACTGTTTCCTCCCCCGACTTACCACGGTGAATTGGAGAAATGGGAAGACTGGTCGTGGCAGCTGAAGCGATATGTAGGACTGTGCAAACCGACTGTGAAGATGATGATGGATGGCGGGGAAGGGTCCAACAGTGTGATTGATGATGAGCTGTGTGAGGCGTTTGATGTGCGGCAAACGAGATCACAGAATAATCAACCGTCGCTGTTCTCGCGACAACTGCCTTACATGCTTGCACAAATCACTGATGGTGCAGCACGTGCGATTATTCGCAATGAGGACCCAGAGAATGGATTCGAGATATGCCGTCAACTGCACAATCAGTTCGCACTGTCAGAAAGAGCGAGAGCCACGAGCCTCTTGAATTAGATCATTGGTTTCGGCCTGAGAAATGATCACTTGGAAAGTCACGTGAGTTCATGATCTTGAAGAATAGACATGAGAAGACGACTGGCAGGCCACTGGACGATGACCTCTTTATCACGTTGTTAATGCAGAAGAATGGTGGTGCATTACCCCATCATCTTCGTTTGAATGTTCGTAGCATCAACACCTTCAATGAAGCACTGGAGATTGTTGACAGCTACATCAAGAGCAGGCATCTGATTGTGCCGAGTGGTAGGATTGATCACCAAGGCCAAGCCGACATGGATGTAGGAGCTTTGAAAGGAAAAGAAAGGATGGAAAGGAAAAGGAAGGAAATGCAGAGGAATGTACAAAGACAAAGGACAAGGATTGGAAGGCAAGGGAATATTCAAAGGAAAAGAAAAAGGAAAGAGTAAAGGATACAAAGGAAGAGGAAAAGGAATGAGAGGAATGAAAGGAAAAGGTAGAGGACAAGGATGTTTTCTGTTTGGCGACCCAAGCCACTGGAGCAAGGAATGCCCAAAAGCAGTTAAAAGCAGGTAAAGGTATAATGTCAGCCGTGCACGCACTGACAGCACCGCTTGCAAATCAATGGCGACCAGCTTTGGCACTGGAGAGAAAACCAAGCATGTTGAGTTGAGGTTTCTGTATGTCCAGAATTTGGTGCAAATGGGCCTACTGAGGCTGGCTAAGGTTGAAGGCACGCGGACTCCCGCGGATCTAATGACCAAAAATGTTGCCACTGACGTGTTGCAAAGATTGAGGACCCAACTGGGAGTGTTTTCAAATCGGTTCAATGAGTTTGCTGCTGATGCTCCGGATACTGATGATCCTGTTGCTGCTGTGGTCTCCTCCTCCTCCTCCTCCCCGACGGCCACCCTACTGGGAGTGGCCCGAACACTCCCCTCCCCTGCCCTAGCCTCGTGAGCGTCCCCTTCAAAGTGCGCTGCGTGCACTGCTTATCTGGATGCCGTTGGATTGAAGTCCACGCCGAGGGACTGTGTAGGTGAGCCGCAGCGATTGCAACGCATGTCCTTGAGTGAATGCGTGGCATGTCACACTGCTGTCTTGTTTAGTGCCTAGTGTAAAGTCACTGCAGCTGCTTGTCAACCAAGGAAAGAGAGTGTGGGAGAATGAGAGAAAAAATTCTCCGACTGCCGAAGTGTTTCCCGATCGAATGTTGGATGTTCTTTGCGGTCCCGAAGGGATTGCAGGAATTGCCCGAAAGTTTCCCCGAAACTCCGAATGGAGATTGGATGTTTCGCCCAAATGTTTGGCGAAACTCTGGCGATTGTCCGGCGATTGTCTGGCGAAAGTCTGTCGAATGTTTTTGCCGAGTGACTGCAACTGATTTGCATGTACAGAATGCAATGCAAGGAACTGCTTTGAGTCTTTGCTTTGCGGATTGAGACCAATGTCTTTCCCCGAAGTGTTTTCTCTGAATGTTCCCCAGTGCGACCTCCGAGTGCCTAGAGTGTAGACCGCCACCGCTTTGCTAGCCTGAAGCAATGGCTCCCAAAACTGTTGCCGTGATGCAGCAGAGTGTGTTGCCAACCCCGGAAGAGCGGATTTTGGACATCACTGGCAATGAGCTGGTTGAGGTCTTGGCCCAGCTAAGTGGCCGGCCTGTGGAAGAGATTAAGACGGAGTGTAGACCACACTGGCTGCAATGCGCATGATGGGCCAGATCCCTGAGAATCGGCAGGATCTGCGCTGACTGGCAATGGGCGAATCCTTTGTCCGCCCGAATGCGACTGTCGGTTCGCAGCGTGAGGAGAATGTCAATGCAACTGTCCCGGTCGCGATTGATGCCTTGCTAGGCATCACTGGTTTGAACGGCACTGGGAATACCATGCCGAATGAGCCGGCATCTTTTGGGAGGCACGCCGTCTGATGAATGAGACACTGGTGCAGCGCAAGCTCAGTGTTGAAGTGTCCAGAGCTCTCACGGCAATGGGCTGTGGACCTGAGATCACTCGCGTCTGGGATGAATTGGGCCAGTGCATCACGACTGTGGTCCAGAATGATCGCGAGGGAGTGGTTTAAAGGGCGAATGATCTCGCCGAACGACTGCTCCGAGCCCAGATCGCACTGGCGAGTGGGATGAGAACACTGCTCCAATGTTGTCTGTGATATTGCTGGGAACCCTCGCAGGTGGACTGACTGCCTGCAGATTTGACCGCCCGGGCCAGCGCAGCAATATGACAAAAGCTGAGCGACTGCTCCTTACCAAACGAAACTGGCAGGTGGAATGGCGCTCTCCCCACAATGCGAAGGAGAAGGCGATCGACCTGCTGGTGAATGTGAAAGATTGGGTCTGTTGGTCATCGAGCCTGGCGAATGGACTGTTCTGCAAAGGCTGGCTGGATGTGAGCCGCCTCCCGTGCCATCTGAATGGCGCGTTCAATGCCCTCTCGGCACTGAGGAAGATTGTGCAATGGGCTAACCAAGAGGTGTTCGAGCCGAATGAGAATGCTGAGCCGATTGCCTTCTGTCGGGTTCAAAAGAACACGAGTCGAGGCAATGCGCCGATGGACTGCTGGAGCATCCGGCGGCAATACCAGAATGAAGCTGGCCGCGGCCAACTACTTCGACTGTCGAGTCGGTTCAATGATCATATCAGCACCCACGAATGGGACGGAGTTGGCAGCAATGACTGGCGTTGGGCCCTCTGCGAGCGCTCAATGGCTTCAATGGGCATCGTGCGAATGCCCGTGACTGATGCAATGTGCCACCCCAGCCTGAGAATTCTTCTCAGTTTGAATGAGATCATCGAATGGGGAATGTGGGCCACCACCAATGGCCAAGCCTTTGTGGAATGGCGCCTGATTGGGCACACTTTGGTGCCGCTGAACCATGGCGATTGGAGGTGGGCTGATGCATGATTGCTCCCCCTGGGATGAGATCTGGGCGGGCGAAGAGAATGTGCCAGCCAATGCCTGGAAAGCTCCGACCCAGGCCCTGGGCTCGAGTGATCGCACTGCCGCTACCGTGCAGGCGATTGCCCAGATTGCCAATGCTCTGGAACCCGGTGCTGAGATTGTCCTGCAGACGAATGCCAAGGGCACTGTCAAGTGATCGCACTGAGCTGGCGATGAATGAAAGAGTGCCCTGCGACTGCAACTGTTTTGCAATGAGAAGTTTATCTTGACATGTTGAATGGATTTCTTCAGTGGTTCGCTGGGAATGGTGCTCTCGGAAACAATGTGAATGGACCTGGACCGACTGATTGCGAGCTTGCTTTGTGCAGTGCAAGCTGGCCTCCGCATGCTCATAGCAATGACTTGAATGTCATCCCGAGTCGAGCGAAAATTTCCAGAATGAGGCCAATTATGCCCCCTTGCAGCTTTGATTGCTACTGCTTTGAATGTTTGTTGACCGCTTCGCGAACAATGCCATTTAGTTGTGTATGCTGGTTAAATGTTTGAGTGATCTTCGACGAAAGTCAGGATCAAGGGACTGTGTTACATGTAACCAGCCCAATGCGCACCCGAATGTTCAGGATACATGTGTGAATGCTATAATGCCGAATGGCATTTGGCCCCAAGACTCGACACGATTGGCTTGGTCGCACAAAGGAATGTGTCCGTGTGATTGTGTATCACTGGGGAAAGTAACTGATCTCGGTTGGTTGTGACTGTTTGGATTGTAAGTTCGAACTTTGCATTCTCGCTGTCGCTCTGTGGCTCTCCTCGCTCTCTCGCTCTCTTGCTCTCTTGCTCTCTCGCTCTCTTGGATCTCTCGCTCTCGCGCGCACTCGCTCTCTCGGTTTCTCGGTCTCTCGCTCTCGCGCGCTCTCGCTCTCGCACCCGCTCCCGCTCTCGCTCTCGCTCTCGCTCTCGCTCTCTCTCGCTCGCTCGCTCGCTCGCTCCCTCTCTCTCTGTCTCTCTGTCTCTCTCTCTCTCTCTATCTCTCTCTCTCTCTCTCTCTCTCTCTCTCTCTTTCGCGCTTTCTCCCACCCTCTCCCTCCCTCTCTCTGGCTCGCTCTCGCTCTCTCATGCGCATGTCTCAGCATGTCCCGTCGCAAGCGTTTTCGGCACATGATGCACAATACCTTGCTATCTGCTGAGTCCGATTCTTCCACAAGCTCTTACGCGACATGCGAAGTGTCGAAGGTTGTCGCAATGGCTACTTGTGATACCTCTGCGCCCATGGGGTCTGCAGTGGTGGATGCATGATGATGCATGTGTGTTCCTCGTGAGGCCGTGCATGGAAGCAGGAGCACCAGTTCATCGCCACAGGATGACTCGAAAGACAAGCTGAACACTTTGATGATGCAGCAGAATCAACAAAAGTCCGAAACTTCGATGAAGCTCAAGCGGCTTGTGGAGCAGGCCAGTCTAGTTAGAGCTTGTTGGTTTGTGGTTTTCATCTTGGGGCATAGTTTGCACTCTGTTTGTCAGCTTACACCACTGGCCAGATCATGTTTGCTTGAAGTCCAAGTGCATGCCCCTGACCAGGGCTTGCAAGACCACATCGCAGCTAATGCAGCAAGAGGCGTAAAGACACTCCGAGAAAAGATTGCGGTGATGGTGCACTCTCAGATGTTCGAGTATGCAGCGGGCTTCGTCATCCTCGCCAACCTAGTTGTCATCGGGGTAGAGGCTCAGCTTTCGCTTTCCATGGACTCGGAATTTCCGGACTTATCCTGGCCTTGGTGGATGGAGAGAATATTTCTGCTGATTTACTGCTCCTCGTCTCAGAAAACCCTTCCGCTTCGGGGAGATTTTCTGGAGCGTCCTTCCGGCGCTTCCGTGCAGAGGGACTGCCTTAGCCACATATGCGCAGACTATGGGCGAGTCCTGCAAGCGCCAACCTTCGCTAACGATGGACTTATTTCACCGCCTGATTAAACACCAAGGGGCTGTTCTGCAATCTGAGGTTTCGAGATCTTTCTCAGAATCGTCGCCGGCGGTTTCGGTGTTCTTCGGGACACTCTGTAATCGAGAAACCAGCTCCAAACATTGCTTCACGTGTAATGTGATATTTCAGTATGTTCTCAGTTCTCAGTCCGCAGGACGTCTGGTTCCTAATGGATCTTGCTCTCGTCATGACCGGCTGGACGGCTCTCTTGTTCCTGCCGCTGGCAGGCGGGGCGAGGACACTGACCGGAGAACACACACACACACAGAGAGACAGAGAGTCCGGGTGCTGTTTGCGTGGAATGGATGCCACGGTTCTGAGCAGATCCGGACGACTCGAGCAGGAATCCGTGCCCGAAACTCTTCAGATTGGCATTGTTGTGTCCGTCACGTCCTGGCTCGAGCACAACGAACCTTTCTCTTGTGCAATCGAGTCGTTGTCGGGTGCTCTTGCCACCATGTAATTATAGCATTGTGTGTCAGCTTTCCGACTTTACACTACCGTGTGGAAAGGCTATGAACATTTGGGACCTCCTGGATCCTTTTTGCCAGGTGTCGATGCGCTGGCCGCCGAAAAACTCCTGATCGTCCGCGGGCTTCGCCTGCTGCGTCTGGTGAGGGCTCTGCGAATGATCAACCACTTCAAGGCCTTGGACTCTTCAAGACGATTTCTCTGGTCTGTTCGCTTTCTTGATACTTCGTAGCTGGCTTGGAAATGGATTTGGCTTCACTGAGCTCAGACTCTTAGTGCCGGGGGTGATCTGCAGCCTTGAATAGCCTATGGTGAATGATCAGACGCCGCCAGCCACCAACCCCCAAGACCTGTGTTACAGTGAGGGGAAAGAAGTGGATGCAAGTGACAAGAGACAGCAAGAACAACAAGCAGCAGCAGCAGCAGCAGCAGCAGGGATCTCCTTCGCGAACGTCACTGGCATCACCGTCATTCTGTCGACATTACTGCGTGAGGTAGTTTGGTCGAGTCTCTCCTTCTGCATGCCAACACTCGAGGCTTGAACCCTGTTGTTGTTGTTGTTCTTGTTGCTGCTGTGGCTGGTTCTCGTTGTCGTGGTCGTCCTCGCCCTCCTCCTCCTCCTCCTCCTTCGCCTTTGCCCTACTTTTTTCATCTATCATGATCATGGTCATAGCAAGCTTTCATGGTAATGATGACTCTCATCGAGATCTTCGAGACAGCCTATAGTCATTGTTACGAGTCATCGTGGTTGGGAGTGTGTGCCCTGGTCATGGTTTGGACTTCCCCTTGCAAGCGTCCCGCCAGTCGAAGCACGGAGCGCGAAGATCGATCAACTCACATCCTCAACGACACATGTACATGTACGTGTGCCATGTGAGTATATCATACATGCACGCATATCTTGGCCATTCACCTTCTCGGGGCGGTCTCGAAATCCTGCCAGCGCATTTGTGTGTGTGTGTGTGTTATGTGTGATCCTTGGGATGCCAATCCAACGGCATATTACATGCATTTCGAAGATGCTGGCCATGCCGCCTGCTTCGCAAGACCACCCTTGCAACGACGGAAGAATGAAGTATGCAGGTATGCGACTACGGTGAGTAGGTAAGTAGGTAGGTAGGTAGGTAGGTAGGTAGGTAGGTAAGCATGTAAGTATGCAAGTGTATGTATGCAAGTGTATGTATGCAAGTGTATGTATGTATGTCTGTATGTATGTACTGTATGTATGTTTGTATGTATGTATTTGCGTACATACTTACGTATGTATGTATGTATGTATGCATGTATGTATGTATGTATGTATGTATGTCGCATGCTAACTTTCATGTACGTACGTATGCATGCATGTATGTATGTGTGTATGTATGTACCAATGTGTGTATGTATGTATGCATGTCTGAATGTGTGTATGTGTCACTTTGTGCGAGTATCTCTGTGTGTATGTGTATGTCTAGTTTTTGTGCACGGGTTTGTAGGGCATCATAGATGGCCAGCTTCAGGTGATCTGGCGACTGGTTTATGGTCTCTTGACGGCCGGTCAGACAATCATTTCGACAACCGCGCTGATCTTGATCAGCTTATTCGTGTGTTCCTGCGTTGCGGTGGAGCTCATTGGCAAAGATCGCGAGTTGCTGGAAGATTCAGTCACGGGCCCGATCGTGCAGACGTGCCCTGGCATGATTCACCACCGGCGACGGATCAAACAATTCATGCTCATAGCTTCTCACTTTCCTCCCGTGTCACGCACAGAATCGGTTCACTTCTCTGCAAATGGATGTAGTCGTCAAAAGGCAATAGCAGTAGAATTGACAGTCATCATCTTGTTGTTGTTATTTGTGTTGTTATGATTGTTGTTGTTGCTAACGCGCGCCTTAATGACCACGGGGTTTTGGCATGTTTTTTGCGGGTTTGAGGTTTGCCTGGTTTGGGGGGTGAGGTGGGGTGGGGTGGGGGGGTTATGACGTCCACTTCGCCACCATCACCATGAACATCATCAATATGCAGGCATCATCATCATCATCATCGTCATCGTGCTTCGACACACAGAAGCCCCGGTCAGAATAGTACTTTCACATCGTCACCATCATCATCATCACCGTACGTCATAATCATCGCTTTTCCTTTATGTTCCGTCTCAATACTCCAAAGCAGCTGTCGGGTGCCGCAGACGCCAAGAACAATAAGACTCAATAAGACATTTGTATAAGAGGTCGGCTGCACAATCCGCATTCCGAAGGTTAGAAAGCTCCCACCGGGGCCGGTGTTTTATGCTTCGACACACAAAACCCTGGTAAACACGGCACGTTCTAAGCATCCAAAACAAACCTTTTCGTCACAAAAGTGCACACAACCCCACATCTACCGCGACCCCATAGTCATTAAGGCGCGTTACCTTTTTGTGCGAACAAGAAGTGGTGATGATGATAGTGATGACAATCAGCTTATTGATCGTTTGTCTGTTCTGGTCAGGCCTTGTGGCTTCCAGGGGCTTTCGGGCTATTGCTCATGGATCACTTTCCTGCTGAGGATTTCGGGCTCGAGCCGCAGTGAATCGCTACATATATATATATGTACATATATATATATACACACCTCCATACATATATATATATACATATATATATATTACATATATATATATATACACTTACATCTATATACATATATATATATACATATGCTACCCCCCCTTAAAACCCGCAGAACCCTTCTTATCAAGATAATCATGTAAAGTATTGTTTAGCTGTGTGCTGCTTATAACCACAAATACAACATATAAATACGGATACAACATAGAAGTATTGCCTTTATGCTTGTCTGCTAACTGAAGGAAGCCCCTGTACGTACGATAACTACTAGAAAATATGCATAATCTATTAAAGTATTAATCCCTCCAAAGATTCCAAGTTTCAACCAGGTCGATCACCCTAGTTGCAGGTCTACCATCTTGACAGGCACACTTACTAGTCGGTCTCTTTCAACCAGGTCGGTCACCTTAGTTGCAGGTCTACCATCT